GGAACTCAAATTACCTCAGGAATCCAATGGAATAGGTTTTAAGGCTCTATCTCTCATAGTTTCCGAGATAATCGCGAAAAACGAAAGTGCCAAAAAAAATTAATTCAATTCATCTTGTATAAGGCCTAGGAAGTGGAAAAACGCAATTCTGAGTCGTGCACTTACCTATAGGGGACCCAAATTTGATTTTAAGGCTCTATCTAGTATAAAAATACATCTGCGTGAAACACACAGTAGTATAAAACTTCAACTGCGTGAAACACACAGTAGTATGAAACTTCAACTGCGTGAAATACACAGCAGTATGAAAATTCGGCTGCGTGAAACACACAAACTTCACGCATGCGTGGAGTGTATGGAGTGTACGGGAGTGATTCACGCAATGGTGCGAATAGTCACGGCCTAAAGTTTTTTAAAATCGAATAACACGAAGAGTTATTTATTTTTACTGGGGAGAATGAGAAGTGCCCACGCAGACATCCGAGCCACCGAAATGATTACATTCCTCGCAATGAGAGCGACTGTACGCTCAATTAGTCATTCACAGTATTTCCCATGTTAATTCGTAATTTATGACAATTTTCTATTACTCTGGAACTTATTTATATTCATTTTACATTTTATCTCCTCGGCTCGAGAGCAATTTATTGCGCCTTACGGAGAAAAAATAATGAATAAACAAGGGAGATGTAAGCAAATGCCTGAAAGATGTATTGGAAGCATATCAGGTCTGATTATTAACGCCTTCAGCAATAATTTACATTGGGACGCGATCGAGCGTGGGCAGATACGGCTCCGTGACCCGATCTTCAGTGTAGATCGATTACACGATTGGAATAACAAGTGATGAAGGGGTTAATATACTTTAACCACATTTCGCCTCCATTCTCAGGCGATTTTTGCTTAAGAATCTGCGCGAAGGAAATTCTTAAATTCTTGGTAAATAAAGAAGTGTAATCGTGTGTTTTCAGACGGGAAATGGATTTTTCTAGACGTTTCAGGGTAATTTTTACTACAATTTCCGCTTCGGGTGGATAGACTCTTAGAAAAAGAATGAAATTTCAAGGAGAGCGACATTGAATTCGATTTAGTGAGGAGAAAAATTATGAAATTCTAATATTTAGTGAAAAATCAATGGAGTTCAACATTTGTGAGCAGCAGGGTGACGGGAATTCGTGAATGTCTAGTCCCAACTTACACCGAGTTTTTAAGTAATTGAAACACGGAGAGAAATCTTTAGAAAAATTCGAGTGCGAATACCGGAAAAAAACACAATCGACGAATTGGAATATAATATCAATGAATTTCTTGAAAAAAATCGTGAAAAAATGTACTCGCGATTTTATGGATTGGGAACCGATTTCACTAGCCGTTTTAGTGCAATTTTTACTACTTTTCCTCTCCACGTGAGATGCAGTGTTAGAGAAAATTGAAAGTTTATGGCCAATTTCGTAGGAATTTTCAGGAGAGCGACATCGAATTCAATTTAGGGCGTGAAAATCATAAAACTTCCATTTCCCGTACAAATTTTATTGAATTTTAAAGTTTTGAGCGATAGAAACCGAGAACATTGCAACTTACTCGAATTTTCAATAAAAATATAAGCATTTAGTACCGAATCACGTGGAATTATCAACAAATTGAAAATTCAAGTATAGACAGCAATACGAATGTTTGAATTTCACACACTTTTTGTAGACATTTTTAGAGAAGCAGGTGCCTGAACATCTTAATTCATGATTGAAATTCAGACAAATTTTCATTTTATTCAAACGTTTTTTAGTCTGAAAAATGTCTACAAAAAGTGTGAAGTTCAGACATTCGTTTGTGCTGTGTACACTTCCCGGAATTTTTCCGATTTCTATTAATTCTCGTGGAATAATTGAACTGAAATTCATAGTATCCATTGATTTTTTCATCCAATTGCGAATTTTCCTTGAAACTCCAGTGGAACTGTCGCTGATAAAAATTTCAAAAGACAACACCGCGATCAGTTGTCCATTTAAACAGCTAATTTAAATATCTCATCCAAACACTGCGAAATTGATCCACAAGTGCTGAATCTCTACAACTGGTTCCCACTATCTCCCTTTTTTCGTATAAACCTGTCCACATACTTGGAAGAGAGTGGTATAGTACATTTAATGGCTAGAGCGGCGCCACGCTGGCCAGATCGATGCCCCTCGTTTGTTCACCACGACCTACCTTCCCCCTATCGCTCCGACTCTCCTATCACGTGAAAAATCCCACCCCTCGGTGCACATTATTTTCTCCAAATTCATCGGTTATTTTTTTAAAATATGTTTTTCATTCCAGCGAAGGGAGAGAGAAAGTGCGAGTCGCATTTCTCGGCCCACAGCCCCATCCCTCCACACCAGGTCTCCTACTCCTTGACCCAGTGTTACCCTCATTGGGATACATCGACGCAATGTCAACTGGACCTGCGGAACTCCTCACTACCCACACCGAGCACACATCGCCTGCTTATCATGCTCAAATCAGGTAAAATGAGTTTTTCGTTTTTTTTTCTTTTCGCTTTTTCCATGTCCGGGGAATTGGGGAGGGAGTCAAGTGCAGACGGAGAAAAAAGTTGATTTCCAGGGACATGTCACCAATTATTAATACAAAAGGCACAATCATTTCCATCAATGAAATTCCACAGAGAACGAAAAGTTTTAACTTTCAGGGAAATGTCACTGATTTTCAGGAATTTATCCCCAATCGTTGAGAATTCGCGATTGGGAAATTTACTGAGTGTAAAACTCTGAAGTTCAGTGATTTTGTCACCAATTTTTAGAGTAATGTCACAGATTCTCAGGAACTCATCGTTAATTTTTTTAAATGACTAATTGTCAGTGATAAAAATCATTGATGAGAAATTTCAGCAATAGCTGCACTTGAATTCTCAATGTTGTGAATGTGAATTCAATTTAAGATAAAATCATTCATGTTATTGGAATGACCGAATTCTTAAACTCACAGTGAAAATTCAACATCACAGGTAATTGAATTTTAAAAGGATTTCAAATTCAGGAAAATAGTTGCCAAAATTTTCAAAATTTCCCATTTTCTTTGTCATGTGGACCAGAAAATAACAATTTCATTGAGTACTCTAGAATTTTTCTGATTTTTTAGTAACAAAATATATGGAATTCAATTTAGCGAATTTCACCTGAATGAGTTGCTGTTAAAAATTTAAATATTTTTCACTGGAATTTTCAGGAGTAATTCTCCAACAGCGCAATGTCCAGTACCACTAATAATTGATTATACATTCCTGAAAATCAGTGAAATTTCCCTGGAAATTTATGAAAATGTCAAATCACTGAATTCCAGTATTTTTCACGCGTTGAATTTCACAATCGTCAATTCCCAAAAATTAACGATGGATCACTAAAAATCAGTGATACATTCCCAAAAATCAAACCTTTTCCCCCTACAATTTCCAAAAACTCTGGGATTAATAAATACTCCGGATGTGATGTGTGCACCCTCTCACGCAAGCCCCGAAAAAGAATTTGACATTTACAACAGGATACGAACATTTTACGATCTCCTTCCTGCTTCGCCAGTTTCTCTGCATTTATTTCCGAGGCATTCAAGCCCCGCGCGTTATTCACGATTTCTTCCTCCAACAATAAGACATTCATTCATCGGCTGTGATGATCCCCACGACAATTAGATTACGCAATTATTTTAATAACGAACGCGATAACAGGCCGCAGTCACCCATTTCCTTCCGGAGCCGCAGTGCATCCTGAGGTGCCACATATGTCGTTGAGCAACAGTGGAATTATTAGACCTCAAATCTCTCGCCAAGAGTTGCGAAATTTCCCAAGTGTATTCATGCCCGTGAATGTCCCACTGACACTGACTAGATCGCAAAGCCGTGTGATAAGCCCGCATCATTGTCTTCTATTTTTGCTTCCGAATGGACACTTTATAATCGGTCGATTTTTCGATTCTCCTAATAATAATTCTTTTCAGTAAAATATAATAATAGTTTTCAATATTATTTGCCGTTAGAAGGACTGTGGCGAGATACAGTAGTGTACATATACCTATAATACTAATAATACGAATAATAATAATGATAATAAAATATAGTAATTATAAAAACTGAAAAATCAATTATTTAAAATAATAATAATTCTCTAATTTTGCTTGGAAATGACTTAGAATGTCATGAAAGGTCGAGATGTGATGTTTTTAGAGAATGTGCAGAATTCTGGAATTTTTTTTATAAATTTCCACAAAAAAAGGACTAAAATGAGGGATAAAAATCTGAAATTTTGGCTTATAATTGGTATTATTTAGGAGCACAACTGGGCGAAATTTTAGTTCAATCGATCTAATAGTTTTGGAAATACAGCGATTCGAAAATTTTTTTTTTTTCTCAATATCTCGAAAACTAGTGCATCAAATGAACTTTTTTTTGGCAAATCGGACCATAATGTGCCTAGCTAACTATTGCGAGTCGCCCAGTCATTGACATTTTTTATTTCTGTGAAAATTGATGTCAACACGATACCGCTTGAAAAATTTACGATAGGAAATTGCAACTTCAGAAGGGCGAAATCGAACGAATACTTTTAAAAATATTCAGTTTTTCGTATAAAACTTCCTCTTCAATACCTCAAAAACTACTCATCCGATTTCGATTTTTTTTCACAATATTAGTCTTGTTTATCTATTCAACTCACAAATTCCCTGTCGAAAAAATGGTTAAGCGATCATCGCAGATTTTTATTTCTATATTTACCCAGGTACCACTCATTCTCCATCCACTCTCCTCTCTCTCTCTCCCACCTTCTATATTTATATCAAAAAGCCGGCAAGAAGTTGGCTCAAGTTTTTGAATGTATAACTGGAAAACACAACGACAAAACCCATTCTGTCGACGATGAAAATTGTCGGAGGGAAAAATAGAGAAGAAGGGAGTAGAGCGGGACTCGTTCGTCTGTGCCACACCACAACCGTTGTATATAAAAGAGGGAGGATGGAGGGATCGATATAGCGTGGGTGGGATGTGCAGCGGCGCTGCCGAGCCGCCAGTCGCACTGTCGGCTGCATCGGTGCTACCACCTCACCAACAGTTGCATTTTCACCGTCTCAAAACGTCGCAATTATTCCCCCGCCCTCGGCGAACAATTCTGAATTCAAAACTAAATTAAAAACGAAAATCCCCGAAGAAAACTGTTCATCACCCGTAATTTATCAATGATCAACACAAACGTGTAATTATTCTGGTGAATAATGCAAGTGAAGTGCTGAATTTTCACCGGAAATACACCAGAAAATCATGTGATTCTCTTGAAAAATAGATAACGAATGATACGGTTTCATGGAATATCCCGAAATCGTGCAAAACCCAGTGGTAGAGTCCACTCCAACTCGCAGGACTCATCTCGGGATGGAAAATGAAATATCCACCTGATGCAATTACGGGGAAATTCCATCAGTGCTCAGTCAATCTCGTTTTCATTTCAATTCCAGATTTCCCTCATTTTTCCCTCGATCTGTCCTCGATAAAAAAAACCTTCCCCCGGTATATTTTAATCTCAAGTGTAATGGACTCTGGTTAACCAGTGCCAGGAATATTGTTGCCAAAGACGGTTGTGCCTGTGACCTGTCCCAACATTATTTATTTTTTACATTTCTTTTTTGCCTCGAGATGATTTACTCGTCAATGAAAGGGGAGAAACGGGGAATACGGGATTCTCATTGGTTATTTTGACGTAACTCGTTTCGTGTCACTTGATAATAAAGTCAGTAGATGAAGTTGTGTCCTTGGGGGACGCATGCGTAAGAGGACCGGTGCGTGGCACTGTATTAACCCGCTGCCCCATATTACCCATCTGGAATACCCCTTCCGCCCCCCTCTCTCGCCCCGGTCTCCTCCTTTCTCCCCTGTCACATTCCGGTACCTCACGTGGATGCAAAAGGCACATGAAAACGTTTGAAATGTCAATTGGAAGACGGGTAATTGCGTTCTTGACATTCTGGGGGTATTAAAGGGGCTCAGGGGACCGCGGCTTTTTACGGAGGTTTACGCTTTTTTTGGGGGGGAATTGTTTTAATACTGCGATTGAACATTCTCACGCGTTCGAGTATTACGCGTGGCGTCATTTAGCCGCTGTTAGCATCGATTAACGAGGCTCTTCCCTTGGGTGCAGACGAGTTAATTTTTGTTGGTTGGCTCTGATAGTGGTGGGTTCGAATTTCTTCGGGGGTTTTGCGCGGAGAGAAAAGGTGGATAAATGTTATCGGGAGAATCGGGGCAAATTTTACTTTTACACTGTTGGGATGTTTTTGAAGTTTCTTGGAAAATGTGAAATTTCAAGTTTTAGGTAAAATTCGTGGGTTTTCAGTGGGAGTGAGATGAAAATTTCACGAGTTGATTGAATTTTTCATGGAACGTGAATGTTTAGAAACAAAATGACACGAATTTTCAATTTTTCCGAATTTTCACGGAATAGTTTAACTGGAAAATCAAGTATTTTATTGATTTTCAAATCATTTGAACCGAAAATTAATGGAATATTTGATTTTTCAATGTCACAATTCCCTGAAATTTCAGGGGAAATTAAACACGATAAAAATTTCCAGGATTTGCCACAGAAAATTCAGATTAAAATTTTTAACAGTGTATGAAAGGTAATCGTAAAGCAAAATGTAATTATCAATTGTGAGGAAATTGTTCTCGAAAAAAATCCGCTTATCCTAGTTTACCGATTCAACATCCCATTATTAATCCTACGCTTTTGGAAAATTACTCTTGGAATTTCAAGTGAAAAAGCTTGAAATTTTTAACAACGATAAAGTTACATGAAATTCTTGTATATATTTTTTCATTGACGAATGACTTAATATCTTACGTATATTCTTGAATATGCGTAAGACACTGGAAAATATTTAAAATTTTTTAAATTCAGGCAACATTTTCTGAATTTTCAATCTATTGAGAATTGAATTCAATAGCGAAGTGGTAAAGCGGTTCAAGTCGAATTATCTCCCAGTTGAGTTTTTGAGGAATATTTCCGAATCTAAGGGAGATAGCGAAATTTCTGTTATAACCTTTTTTGTAGAGTCGATTGAGAGCTACGACAAATGTGATTATGAAAATTTCGCTATCTTCCTTAGATTCGGAAATATTCCTCAAAAACTCAACGGGGGGATAACTCGACTTAAATCGTTTTACCACTTCGCTACTGAATTTAAGCTTTGATTGGAAAATCAATGATTGTTTCACATGAAAAACCCAATTGCCTTGAGATTTCAAGATAAATGAAAAATGTTATGAATGTTTTAATTTGAAGTTGAATTCAAACTCCCAACATCGAGAATTCACATGACACCGTGACTGAAAGTTCAAAAAATTTCTAACAGCGCATTATTATTATCTCATTCTTCTCTGTGCGGGGTTTTAGGCATTGATAATTGCACTCAATCACCGCAGGAATTCCCGTGCCTACGGAAACCCTATGATTTCGGGGCGAATC